GAAAAATTTTTCAGAATATAAGTTAAACAAAAGTGGCGATAAAACACATCTCTGTCTAACTCCTCTTTACCGAAATCTTTTCCGTAGTCAACTAAGCACAAGTGTAGATCAACGTTTACAATCAACGTTTACATCCCGACATCGCTGAATCAATATGTTGATGGCAAATAGTCCTTCTCGAGTACCCATTCCATTTCGAAACTCGAACTGCGTCTCACTGATATCCTCCTCTAGCCTTTCGTATATTCTCTTATGTATTACTTTCAGCAGTACTTTAAAGTATGACTCATGAGGCTCAGTGTTCAATAATCGGAGCACTTTTTTGCTGCTTGTTTTTTAGGGATGGTTATAAATGCTGACTTCAGCCACTCTTGTGGTATTATTCCCGTATCGTACACCATGTTGAATAAATCTGCCAATACTTCCAAGTTATCCTCTTCCACTAGTTTTAACAGTTCTACTAGTATTTCATCTAATCCAGTTGCCTTATTGTTTTTAGAGTTTTTGATAGCATATTTGATTTCATCTATCGTGATCTTCTGTCTTTCTAAAGAATTTAATTCCTGTATTTTCTGCATTTCACCTCTTTCATCTTGGAAAAGTTCTCTAACGTATTCCTTCCATCGTCTTAATTTCTCTGGTAAATCTATTAGTAGTACTCCTTTTTTGTCTTTTATGTGCCCTATATCGACCCATTCCAGTCACTTCTCTTATTTTTTTGTGTATATTTCTCATCATATTTTGTTTCTAGTTCTTCTATCTCTTTACATTGTTTTCTCAAATAGATTTCCTTAGCTGTTTTGATATTTTCCTTAATTATTCGTTAATATTATTTATTCGTTAGAATTATTTCTTTATACTTCTGGAGATCTTTTCCTTTATATTTCCTTCTTTCTTCCATCTGTAGTAGTATTTCTTATGGCATCCACTGTTTTTTAGCTTCTGACCTATGTTGTATCAAACTTTCTTGAGCTGGTTTCAGTAATGTGTTTTTTATATTATACCACTTTTTATTTATATCCATAATTTGTTTGTTGTCTGTCAGTTAGTGTTGTTTACATATTAACATTCACATTATTTTTTAATTCGTTTTTTATTTCTTCGTTTTGTAGCATTCTTACATTAATTTTTGGTTGTTGTTTTCTGAGTTCAATTCTTTTTAATTTCATTTTCACGTCAGCCACTAACGGATTGTGGTCTGCTAAAGGATAAGTTTTAACTTAGGTTATAGAGTTTTTATATCTGCTATTTACGAGTACAAAGTATATCTGGTTTCTGACAATGTGGTTTTCTGTAAATGAAGGAGACGTCCATGTACATGTGTATGCCAAGGGTCAAATAATAGAACAGGTAAATTCCATTAAATATTTGGGAGTAAATATCAATAGTCAGTGTAATAAAAAAAAAAGAAATCCTACCAAGAATTGAACAAGCAAGGAAAACATTCATCAGCATGAAATTATTTTTTTAAAAGATCAGACCTTAGTCTGCAGCTTAGAAGGATCAGATGTTACGTTTTTTCTGTCTTACTGTATGGCTGTGAAAGTTGGACAATAAGCGCTGAAATAGAAAAAAGAATAGATGCCTTTGAGATATATATATATATATATATATATATATATATATATATATATATTATATATATATATATATATATATATATATATATATATATATATATACATACAAATGTTGAGAATTCCATGGGAACAAAGAGTTACTAATGTCGCATGTGTAAACAAAAATAATTACTAAGAATAATCAAAAAGAGGAAAATGCAATACTTGGGTCATGTGATGAGAGGCGAAAGATATGAATTACTTCAAGTTATATTGGAAGGAAAAGTACAGGGCAAAAGATCAGTAGGAAGACGCCAGAACTCATGGCTGAAAGACCTGGGGAGATGGTTCGACCGCTCATCCGCAGAAATCTTTCGCGCAGCAGTTTCCAAAACTACAATTGCCATTTTTGGATCGCCAACCTTCGAAAGGAGACGGCGCCATGAGAAGAAGAAAAGCAATAATATCAGCTAACAGAAAATATTCACATAACTGGAATAGTTTTAACCAATCTGAACAGCGACATATATTTGAGTAGAGCAGTAAATTGAACTATCCCACGAAGATTAGACAACCAATAGAAATTTGAAGGATCGGATTCATATACACGCATATTAATTAAAAGGAACCACGAGGGGTCGAGTATGCACTTTTATGTCTCCTCGGTACCTTGGCGTTTTTTATGTTCTTTGCTATATTTGATTTTTAGAGAGTACCTCGGGAGAGTTTATCTCGGCAAAAAATTAACACAGAGACATTTACAAAGCTTAAAACGTTCGTTTTAAATTGTTCTATAACTTTCATTAACCAAACTGCCAACGTTTACGGCTCAGTTTTGTTTAACACACTTATAAAAAAAATTAATTCACTTTTGAACGAAAATTTTAACTACTTATAAACTCCTAGAGCTTTTTTATTTATAATGTAAAAATAATATGCATCTTCGGCAACAAATATAGAAAGCTTAAAATATTCATTGTGAGCTGTTCGATATCTTCCAGTAGCCAGATTTTCAAAGTATATAGCTTAATTTTGTTTAAATCTCGTATAAACAAATTAATTCGGAACGTTTTAGTAAAATGTTTAATTTTAAGTGTTGTAACTTTTTTATTAATAAAGGTAAAATAAATTTGCAATTTTTTTTTAAAGCTAAAACAATTATGTCTACAATAAATGTGTATTTTGCAATTGTTTTTTATGAAATTTGTGATAACTCCAGTTCTAACAATCGGATCAAAGTTAACCAAACGCCATTTTGTTAATTTTTTCAAAAGAAACAATTTCCATTTTGGTAAAATTCAATATCTCTAAAAGTTTAGGGGATACAATCATTTCAACAAGTTAATAACAAATTATCTGACGAGTTTTCAGCCTGATACCCTTGAAAAATCGGATCTACGCACCAAAAAACATACAAAAAGTCGTCAGAGGGGACATAAAAGTGCATACTCAATCCCCCTTGGCTTCTAGACTATATTTAGATCCTCTCCATTTCAAGTTAGCTGGTGATGCTTTTACTCTATATAATCGTAGGGTTGTTTAAAATGATGTAGTTTTATTTCTTTGCTTGCTTTGAAAACATTGGTTCACCTCTAGAGGGAAATAGAGATGATTTTAAAAGTCGATATGAACAATGTAGTTAGTCGATATGAACAACATCTATATTAAGGCTATAAAAAACTGGAATTTCATTTCGAGAAATTCTTTGTTGCCTGTTCTTTGACCACAGAAGACAGGCAACGTCATATAGGTACTGCTGTTGTCCAAAGAACTACATAACATGAAGAACGCATCTTAAAGATTCGGCGAATCACAATCATTCACTATTTGCCCAGCTACTAACTTGTAATATGTAATAATAACTAATACATAATATGTTACTAGATATGTGTGTACTAATGTACTACTAAGTTGCCGAAAATTGCTTGGTGTTATGTCTCCTTTTGATTCGATTAAAATACCGACTGACGAGGGAACATCGAATAGCGATTATTCGTCAATAGCAACTCATACACACTAGTCGCTACTTGCCAAATAGTAAATATTTGCTATTCGGAACTCACCGAATATCGCATATCTGTATTCCACTTTAGAGATTGATTTTCTACCTCTAGATCATTGGAACATAAATGATGAGCTGCTACTGGTTCACGGTTCTTTTGATCTGCTTACGGTTCTTGAATCTTACTAGAAAACTGCTATGATCAGTTTATGGTAAGTTAATGTTGTTTGGCTTGTAGTATTTTCAACCTCGTCTAATCTTCAAGAACTTGACCGTCATCTTTTTGAGGTGAATATTTAACGCTCTGATCTTCTGAATATAAGATCCTCCTCAAATCACTTAACCACATTTTGTACAGAACGTAGTCCTTTGCCAACAATACTTGTAGGTTCACGTGTTCTTCGACTATCTTATAACATTACAACTGTTGCCACCACAATAGAATCTAAAGAAATATTGATCCCTTAAATAAACACTACACCTTGTTTATGAATAATCTAGTATCTATTCTTATTAGGAATATAGTGACCTCTACCAATGGTCTCCATTATCTCTGTCTTCCATCTTATTTGAGGTTGGAAATACATTTTTGTTAGCTCTTTAGGACTTAGCCCATAATATTGTTCAATCAAGTCAATCACCTCTGATTTTTCCAATATTTTATGATTAGGTGGCTTCCACATCAAAATAGATTTAGATATTTTATTTGCCCATTTTTTAAATCCATGGATCTAGTTTTTATGAGCCAGCCATATTACATAATGCGGCTCATCTCATTTTAGTCATTTGAAATGGTTTCAAATAATGATATTGTATTGATGTATATTCTATTGTGAGCAATCCCTATTATATAAGTAAGTATTATGTTCCATTAAGTTCCATGTTTCGATTTCAAGTTGGTTAATAAAAAAAAAATAATTTGCTTCTTAGTGAAGCTGACAATTAATAATCAAAATTAAAAAGTGGGGATGCCAATGAAATGTAACTTGAGAAATGTAGATAATACCAGTACTATTGGATGGTATTTCCGACAAGGAAATAAGTTGATTACTAAAAAAAGGCCAAAAAAAATTAGTACAACGGTGGCTTTTAAAATAAAATAAGAAACCTGATTTTTACAGTTTTTATATAGGATGCTAAGTATTGAACTCTAAAGCATAAAGATAAAAGAGAAACTTATAAAGGGAAAGGTAAAGTATAATAGGAAAGTTCCTCACAAGATACATGGACCATATTGTCGTAACTATTGGTGTTCCGCGGACAAAATAAAGATAACGGAAGAAAATCGGAAAAATCGACTAATTATGATATAATATCACGCTTGCTATAACAAGTTAACGACCAAGAAGTACATAATACCAACTGAATAATTGTAAAAAAATTGGACTAATAAAAAAATAATGATGGATCCAATACGTAAAATGAAAGTGACTACTTACCGAATTAGAATTATTGTAATTGCTATTGGTGGTAGTACTATTAGGCGTGTAGGAATTCTGTGCCGGCGATTGAAGCTGTGCTTGTACTTGGGCTGGTTGTACCGTGTTCGGGTACCGCTGATAGTAGCCTGCAGGAGCAGCCGCAGGATGTTGGTGTTGATGTCCGGCACCTACGTTGCTCCATTGACCGCGATAAACGCCTGCCGTCTGGTGCTGAGTGGCCATGGGACCGCCTCCTACGGCACCTAAGCCCGCGCCGCACCCTTTATTATTTATACCTCCGCCGCCACCTCCACCGCCTCCAAACGGTTGCGTCGAGGCTGATGTCGGTCGGATGCCGCCAGAGCCGCCTCCGTTATTTGTCTAAAAATAAAAAAAAGAAAACATTAATTTAAGCATTCATGAAATAATTACCGTTACAAACATTTGAACAATTTTAAAATAAACATGTTAATTATATAGGTCACTGGTCTAATCAAACTTAAACCACTATGAATTTTAAATAACCAGTATTCAAAAATTGAATTCGATCCACAGATGATATAAGACAAAATTAGGACACATGGTAATTTTGAAGATATCATTTAATTTAAAAAAAATTTAAAGCTGTGAAAATAAAGAAAAAACTATGTACGATGTAGTTCCTAGTGGAGACAAGATATGGTGATCACTAGGGTTCGGATAATGTGGTTCGACGATAGTGGCTCGACAATCCGTTGTGGATCTTGGCCTGCTCACAAAGAAGTCGCCACTTCTGTCGATTCCTGGCAACTTTCCTCCATCTTCTAACCCTTAGAATCTGTAGGTCTTCTTCAACATCATCAATCCATATCATTCGTGGTCGTCCTCTGCTTCTTGTGCCCTTTGGTTTTGAAAATGTTAATCTCTTCGTGTATTCGTGATCTGACATCCTAGCAATGTATCCAGCCCATCTAAGTCTCTGCAACGAATTTTACAATATCTGAATCGGTGTATATCTGATATAGTTCAAAGTTGTATATTTGATGTAATAGCCCATTTTCATTTAAGGCCCCAAAAATCTTTCCAAGAATTTTTCTCTCAAAAATACCAAGAAATCTTTCATCATTTTCAGATAAGGTCCACGTTTCAGCCCCATATATCAAAACCGGTCTTATTAACGTCTTGTATATATTAAGCTTTACTACACGTTTTATATTTTAATTTTTTAAATCCTTCTGGAGACCGTGAACAGTTCTGTTTGCTATTGCTATGCGTCTTTTTATTTCGTCGCTTGTCGTGTTTGTTACGTTTACTAGCGATCCACGATATGTGAATTCTTTGACTTGCTCAAAGGTATGGTTGTTAATTTGAATTCTCTCTTGGATATTTCGGGGGTTTTTAGAAACCAACATATATTTAGTTTTTTCCTCGTTTACCACAAGTCCTAATTCACTTGCTGCGCCCGCAAGATTTGTAAAACACTTCACCATGTCGCTCGTACTTCTGCCCACTATCATACATCGTCAGCGAATGCGAGAATTTGCGTCTTTCTATAAAAAATAGTTCCATTCATTCTAACATTTAATTATCTGATTGCCTTTTCCAAGGCAATATTAAAGAGAAGACACGCCAACGCGTCCGCCTGTCTTAGACCATTATTAATGTCAAAGAACGTAGAGTTTTCTCCTTCAATTCTAACGTATGAGCTTACGTTTTGTATTGTTAGTTGGGTCAACTTAACTAACATAGGTGGGTTTTCAAAGTCTATCATTGCATGTCTTCTCTACTTTCTTTTTCTGTCATAGGCTGCTTTGAAGTCAATGAAGAGATGGTGTGTATCTATGTTATATTTTAGTGACTTTTCTATAATCTGCATATGTGCTTGAATTTGATGTGTAGTTGACTTTCCAGCAGTAAATCCGAATTGATATTGACCAACAATATCCTTTGTAAAATGTTTGTCTTTCAAATAATACATTGCCGAAGATTTTATATGCAGATGCTAACAGAGTAATGTCTCTATACTTCTTACACTCCAGTTGATCACCCTTTTTATGCAACGGACATATTATTCCCTTCAGACACTCTTCTGATACCCATTCATTCTGCCATATAAGTACTATTAGTTTATGGATTGTTGCAAAAAGTTGATCACCACCTTTTTTATACATTTCCGAACAGATTTCATCGATTCCTGGGGCTTTATTGTCTTTAGAGTTTTAAGATCGCATTTGACACTTCTCTTTTGGGTCTTCACTGTGTAGTTGACGTTGTAGATTTTGTTGATTTTCTATGCTGTAACCTCCGTCAATATCGTTTATATTTAGATGTTCGCTGAAATGTTGTGCCCATCTGTTATGAACTGAGTTTTTATCATGTATAATTTCATCGTTAGTGTCTTTACAAATTCTTAATCGTGGTTTAAATTCTCGACGGCTAGTATTTAAGGATTTGTAGTATTTCTTCGTTTTATTTTTATCGAATCAACTTTGTATCTCACTGAGAATGTTTCTTTCTGATTCTTCTTTTAGACTAGCTAGTATGATCCGCTCTGCAATTTTGCTTATTGCTGGTAATAAGCGTATCGGTCAATAATTTTATGGAAATGTGCCGTTTTTTCGTCGTTTTTCGATCATTATTACGTTAGCTTCTTTCCATCTGTCAGGAAAATCTCTTAATCTTAGGGTATTGTTGATTAAGTTTGTTATGTGTAATATTGCTTTTGCTGGCAGACTGTTCAGAGCTCTATTCGTAATATGGTCCAGTCCTGGAGCTTTTTTGGCGATAGTATCCACTTTTTGAACCCTTTGAGGGAGGTGTGTGTAATACCTATATTGCATTTTCTTCTTTTTATTTCCCTGGATCTTCTTTCCACTTCTTCTCTGAAGTCTAGATCTTCATCGGGATGATAGTTTTTTCTGACTTTTTTATAACTACCGCTTTGTCTTCTTCTGCGTACACAATTATATTTTCCCCATGTAAGGGTGGAATTGTTTTTATCTTTTCTTAGTATTTTAAGTAGCTTTCAGAACGCGGATTTATTTGGGTTTAGTTGCTGGATATTGTTGTCCCAATACTTTTTATAGACTATCAAATATGGAGTTTCAAAACTACTTTAGTGCAGCCATCTAGTAACAATAATAGAAAATATGAATTGCTCAAGTGACACTAGAAAAATTAATTAGCCACCACGAAAAGTAGAAAGGATAGAAGAAGCCAAAAAGAGATGTGATCGGAGCAGTAAGATTGTAAAAATACTTTAAGATTTGTCTAAAACTAAAGAGAATGGTTACGAAAATAATGAAAACTAAGAAATCGAAAAGAAGAGATAAAAAACTAAAAATTAAGAGATCAATACAAACAATATAAGCAAGAATATACATAACATTCATCAATAATAATGCAAGTAAAAAGTGTATTATCACGAAATATTTCGTCGAAAACAATGTTTTTTGTTACAATGTCTCCATTTTCTGAAAACTTTTGCTTTGCACCGGGAGTTATGTAAACTTTTACTTTTTAATAAAAACGAAACCGGAAGTCGACCTCAAAACCAGAATGCAATTTTTAGTTCATCAAATGTCGACATGGATATCATTTAGCAGTTAATTTTGCATGCTGATCACGAATCCAGTGTCAGATTTGCTCTATCTTGACGTTTTATGCGCGTTTCGGGTCACTTCCAGTGTCGGATCGCAACCGGAAGTACATATTTAGATTCGTCTCGACGAGACCTTTCGATCCATATATACATTGTGGGGTCTAAAACTTAAAGTCAATTTTAACTTCCGGTCATCTCAAAACCGGAAGTGGATTTTTGTACCAAAAGTATATCTTGACAATCTCATACGTAATACTAATAATATTCCGAAAAAATATTTTAATTATCTAATATGGTTTTTGAGTAAAGTGGTGGACAAGAAAAGGGCTTAGCGTTTTAGTATATAAGATTAAGCGTCCATGTGTTTACAACAATACTAGGAGTTCCATGACTCATAACTTAAAGCCATTCATCAAGAGGCCGAACTAACATACGTCAACGATAATATCAAAAAGTGCGCGGAAAATCATACAGGGAAACTTAAAAAAACGAAAAAGCAAACGACGTATTTGATTTGCACTCGTGCAATTATTAGATCAACTTTAATTTATGCGTCAACCTCCCCAATTTTTTGTCTTACTGTAGTTTAAAGATGTATCAATTGAAGTAATTGATGTGTTGTAAGCTGGGAGCGCTATATTGAAATGTACTCTACTGAAACAACAGTCATCATTTCGCCGCCAAACGAAAAATATTTTGAAATTAATTACGAAAAATTTGTTTTTTCGATCTAAAAATACAGTTCATGAAAATTATCGTAGATTTAAGGATTATTGTACAGGCATAATACTATATAGTAAAAATGAATGTAATTATAGTATATCTACTATAATTATAATATGGTTGCTAACCTTGTAAGACACATCTGTACTGACAGTAAAATTTCTTAAACCTACATTTATATATTATGTTTCACGCCAATACAATATATATATATATATATATATATATATATATATATATATATATATATATATATATTATGTATTTTATAATAAATTACAAATAATATTCAATTATTGCTCCCTAAAAGTGTGATTATGTGTCTTTTGTATTTTGTACACATAATTTATATTCAACATAAACTTGGACATGGACGTACGGGTTCTTCAATCTAAATTGGCGATTTTGAGTCGCTTTCAGTTAACATCGATCAAGTAATTGCTAATTAAATCCGCTACTAGTAATGGTAATTAATTGAACCTGCACTCGATAGACGTTTATGTCTATGCATACGTTATTGTCCCTTTATGAATTCGAATGAAACACTATATACGGGATGGTCTCTTAATAATTGCATACAATTCAATAAAATGAAAATATTAAGATTGTTACATTAAATATTAAAAACACAGACGGGTATCATAGGTGTACCCTACTAATTGATTGTTTTTGAGAATATGCTAAAAAACAAAAAAAAATTTTGTAATCACCTTACCTTATGTATTCTATTTTTTGTTTGATATAAACGCCAACCTTATGTATTCTATTTTTTGTTTGATATAAACGCTCCACAAAATTCGAGGAACATTTTTGAATGAGATATAACTTTTTTGGAAAGATGCTATACAAATAAATTCAAGTAAAATAAAAATATTTCTCAGGACTATTAACTATGCTGTGAGACTTAAATATTACAATTAATAAATATTGTAAACGTCAGAATGATAGACATTTTCCTTTTATTAATTAATTGTTGTTGTTTTTGTAGATAGGAGAATAAAAAGTGGAATTAGTGACGTAGATGCCGTAAAGATTAAGAGAGTCTAATTTAAGACCAAGAGTCCTGCACGAAAGCCTC